TCAGAGGCCACCTCTGCTGATGGTTCTGTTGCTAGCAGCACACCCAAGGTGACAGGGAGCATCACATGAGTGACAGAAACAAGCAGAGAACCAGGAGTCCATTAACCCATTAATTACAAGAGTTCTCCGACTCATGTGAATATTCCTTTACAAGGAGGTGAAGAATTGTTGGCAGGTCATGCAAGGCCAATGAGACCGTCATGGGGAGCAGGGTGGGGTGCAGGCTGTGCCCCAGCACAATAACTGGTAGAGTTAGATTACTCGCATGTAACTTTGGAGCTTTTTGTTGTTTTCTTTTGGTTTTTGTTTGTTTATTTTTGGTTTGTTTGGTTGGTTAGTTGGTTTTTTGAAACAGGGTTTCTCTGTGTAGCCTTGGCTGTCCTGGAGCTTGCTTTGTAGACCAGGCTGGCCTCAAACTCAGAGATCCGCCTCCCTCTGCCTCAGTGCTGGGATTAAAGATGTGCACTACCACGCCCAGGTTTTTTTTTTTTTTTTTTTGAGACAGGGTCTCAAATGTAGCTCGGGTTGGCCTCCTTGACTTTCTGATGATCCTCCCACCTCAGCCTCCCGAGTAGGGGGGTGACAGGTGTGTGGTTATTATGCCCAGCAGTGAAACAGCCTCTTGCTTTGTGACCTTGGGCAAGTCACCTCCCTTCTCTGAACTTTATTTTCCTCCTGATTATATCCAAGCCTCCTCAAATGGCCTTTCTTGCCAGACATGATAGCACATGCCTTTAATTCCAGCACATAGAAGGCAGAGGCAGGTAGATCTCTGTGAGTTTGAGGTCTACATAGCAAGTTCCAGGCCAGCCAGACCTATATAATAAGACATTGTCATTAAAAAAATTTTTAAAGCCGGGCGGTGGTGGCGCACGCCTTTAATCCCAGCACTCGGGAGGCAGAGCCAGGCGGATCCCTGTGAGTTCGAGGCCAGCCTGGGCTACCAAGTGAGCTCCAGGAAAGGCGCAAAGCTACGCAGAGAAACCCTGTCTCGAAAAACCAAAAAAAAAAAAAATTTTTAAAAAACCAGGCGGTGGTGGCACACACCTTTAATCCCAGCACACGGGAGGCAGAGCCAGGCGGATCTCTGTGAGTTCGAGGCCAGCCTGGTCTACAGAGCGAGATCCAGGATAGGCACCAAAACTACACTGAGAAACCCTGTCTCAAAAAAACAAAGCAAAAAACCATGATTTGCCTCCTCCTGTCTATGGTATACCCTGAGAACAGGGAGCTTGTTTCTCTCACTAACCTTCTGGAGGGAGCATGAAGCAGGTGCGCATTGCACATGGAGAAGAATAAACAGAGAGGGTGGTGCCTGCAGGAGGAGCCAGCGAAGACTAAGGGGCGAATGGGGAGTCCAGCATTAGCACTTCTCAGGCAGAGCCAGGAAATGTGGGCTTTGGGAGCAGAAGCCCCTGCGGTCATTGCTGTTCTCCTGTCCTGGGGTCTGCAGGTCGATTTGAAGCCTCTGTGATCGAAGAAAGACGCAAGGGTGCAGAGGACTTGCTGCGCTTCACAGTACCCATCCCTGCACTCAACAACAGCCCCCAGCTCAAGGAGTTTTTCCGGGTAAATCGGCCCGCTCTCCCCACCTCCCCAGCACCTGTACAGCTTCCCTCCCTAGCAGCTAAGTTCCTGACTCCTCTCCCTTGCTGGCCTTTGTCTTTATCAGGGTGGGGAGGTAACACGGCCCTCTGAGGTATCCAGGGACCTACGCATCCTGCCGCCCCCTCTCATCCCCACGCCACCTCCTGATGAGGCCCGGCTACTCCAGCCACTGCCCGCAGAAAGGAGGGGCCAGGAGGAGTTGGATGTGCCAGGTATATCTGGGTCAGGGAAGGGAGTGAGTCCTCCCCGGGAATCTCAGGGAGAAGTACACGGGTGGGAAGTTCTACCACTCACCTGCAGGGAAACTCTGAAGAAGTTATTTTTCTTTTCTGGGCATTGGTTCGCTAATCTGTCAAATAGGCCAAGACCTAAGAGTGGCCTTGTCTGTACCCGTGGCTGCTGCTTCAAGGATTAATCAAGACAGAGGTTCTGTTTTGAGAGCTGAGAAGCAGTGGATGCCAGCATTAATGTCCCCTGGTCTCTCCTCAGCGGATCCCCTACCATCTAGCCCTGCCCAGGAGGCCTTGGATCTTCTCTTCAGCTGTGACAGCACTGAGGAAGCATCCAGCTCCCCAGCCCGAGGGCCCCTCTCTGAGGCTGAACTTGCCCTTTTCGACCCCTACTCCAAAGAGGGTAAGGAGCAGGTGTGGGGCAAGAGGAGCTAAGGGACAGGAAGGGAGTACATGCCGTCTGGGTAGGCCCCTTGGCTGCTGCCCTGAAGCCAGGGGGCAGCCTCCTAAGCCCTCCTCTCTGAGCAGAGTCTGGGTAGCACAGCATCATAGTGTCATTGCTCATGGACCTGCTACGGCTGGCCGTGGTGGCACATGCCCTGCATCCCAGCACTTGAGAGGCAGAAGCAGAGGCAGGAGGAGCTGTATGAATTTGAAGCTGGCATGGTCTACATAACAGTCCAGGGAAGGGAGGGCTACAAAATCTCAAAAACTAAACCAAACGAACAGAAAGTGGGACCTTGTCCTAGTCAATGGGGAACAGTCTAGTCTGGGCCTGAAGAACAGTCAGCACTAGACCTCCTATGAGACCCGGGGGCTGTCAGTCAGGCAGCTTCCCCATACAGGTCAGGGTACTGACCTCCTACTTGCAAATGCCTAGCAGAGAGACACTGAAGCATTCTTTATTCTAAAATTCAACGGATTCACGCTGTGATGGCTGGGGACCCGGCTCAGCCCATGCAGCGCTTGGCTGGCTGCACAGAACCCTGGGTCAAACAGCCTGCTGACTTGGACTCCCATGATAGATTCTGGCAGGGTGCCCTCCAACCTACACACACACACACACACACACACACACACACACACACACACACACACACACACATGTCATGCTATCTTTAAGAGGAAAGCTGGATACGGTGGCACACACCTTTGATGCTAGCACTCAAGGAGTCAGAGCATGTAGATCTGTAGATTCAAGATCAGCCTAGGCTATATAGCAAATTATAGAATAGCCAGGTGGTGAGAGCCTGTCGTTACTAAAACACACAAACGGAAAAGGTAAGTGGCACCTGACTAAGTCCCAGCACTAGAGAGGCAGAGGCAGAGAGGCCAGGCCAGTTCAAGTCATGGGCCAGGAAGAGGGCTGAGGGTGACAGCAGCTGCCTTGGGAGCCTGGCAACCTGAGTTCATCTCCAGAATCCACCTAGGGTGAAGAAGAAAAGAAAACCTCCCCGAACTTGTCCTCTTCCTCGACATGGGTGCCGCAGCACACTCAGGCCTGCCGTCGCTCATGGATGCAACAACAATAATAAACTAAGCTGTCCAAACAGCTCCTGAGCCAAACCAAGCCAACAGGACACAACTGGTTTGCTCTACTCAAGGGAATCCTGGACTTTCCAGGCTCTGTTCCCGTCCAGTGGGGACAGTTTTGTGTCCTGATGAACAAAATAAGCCTGGGGGGCGGGGGGATAACAGACCCTGGGAAAGGCGGCCAGCCCGGCTTGAATCCTCCGTGTTATTACAGAAAGTACAGGCCCCAGCCCCACCCACACCGGTGAGCTGGCAGCCATGGAGGTGCAGTCCAGAAGACTGGACCAGGAGCCCTGGGAGCCAGGGGGCCAGGAGAAGGAAGAGGCAGAGGATGGAGAGCCCGCCCCAGCCTATCTGAGGCAGGCCACAGAGCTCATCACTCAAGCCCTTCAGAGTGAAAACAGCGGCGCCTATGCAGAGGCGCTCCAAGGCTACCGAGACGGGGTGCACATCCTGCTTCAGGGAGTCTCGGGTGAGTGCCGCAGTGAGGAGCCCGGAAGTGAAAAGCAACGGGGTTGGGGAGATGGCTGGGTGGGTACAGCGCTTGCTATGCGAGCATAAGGAACTGAATTAGAATGCCCAGAACCCACACAAAGCGGCAAGACGGGAGGCAGAGACAGGAAAGTGCCCGGAAACTCCAGAGCTGGTGAGCCCGGTATTTGTAACAGAACAGCGGAGACCAGGTCTCAGACATGGTGGAGGAGGAGACCTGCATCAGAGGTTGACCACTGACCTGCACACGTTCACTCTCACAAATATACAAAATATTTCAAAGAAACAAAGAAGGACCAGGAGCCTTCATGTCTCACAGGTCAGCCAGAGACCTTTACTTTAATAGCCTCATAAACTGGGAAAGACACTAGGACCCAGGGCAGGGAGGGGCGCATGCTGGCCAGGGGTTCTGAAGGTAGCCGGCCTTCTGCTCTCTGCAGGTGACCCCTCCCCTGCCCGCCGGGAAGGTGTGAAAAAGAAGGCAGCTGAGTACCTGAGGCGGGCAGAGACCCTCCATGCGCACTTGCCTTGAGGGGTGGACCCTTCCGGGATGTCAGCTCCTGCACTGCCAGCCTCCTCCACTCCTTTCCTTGGGACCCAGCCCTGTTTCCTGCTCTTGGAACCCCTGGGGCCATATCTGTTAACTGGATCAAGTATGAGAAGAGCAAAGACTCATCAGCTCTGACCTCTCTGTCTTATGTGAATGGCGTGTGGCCACTAATCTCTCGGTTCACCCGTCTAGAGCCAGGGTCTGCAGCCTCTACACTCGGCCGCCAGACCTGGCCCACTGCCTTTTTTTGTAAGGCCCTCGAGCTACAAGGGGTTTTCCTTCTTTTGTTGTTGTTGTTAATGGTTGGAAGGAAAAGGATTCTTTGACCAGTGAAAAATTTATAAAATTTAAATATGTGTGAATAAAAACGAGTCAGAACACATCCAGGTCCGTTTGCTTATTACTGTCTATGGTTGTACCAACTGAGTTGAATAAACTGTGTGTGTCTAGGAGTGTGTGGCTCACGCCTTTAATCCCTGTACTCCGAAGGCGGGGCAGGCGGATCTCATTGAGTTCAGGGTCAGCCAAAGCTATATAAGGAGACGCTGTCTCAAAACACAACGCTTAGGGAGGCTGTCTCCAGGGAAACGATGCAGAACGGCAAGCCCACGGCACTAGTTTCGTGTGTTAAAGAGATAATGGAGAGATACACAAAACAGAGTTAACTATTTCGAGAGCCCCAAATCCAAAAACTGAACTTCACGAAATCCCAGAAGACTTGGAGAGGTGTGGCCTGGTCGCTGGACTACAAACCAGTGCATCATGGGACGGCTTGAAGTGGGAAAATAACGAGGCCAGGCGCGATGGATTGTGGGAGGCGTTTCCGAAGGCCGCGGGAGCCGGAGCGTTCTCGTATTGGCCGGTCTGGGGAACCGCGGGGAGCGGGGGCGGCCCCACCAAACGGGGCCCCGCGCCGGTTCCCTGAGCCCAAGGCAGGATGCCGCGCCGCGCGTCCGCTGGCCCGGAGATGCTGAGCCTTCGTCGGCTGCCCACATCCCTGCCATGTCCGGCTGCAAGCTGCCGAGGGGCCTGTGCCCAGACATGTGCCCGGCCGCCGAGCGCTCCCAACGCGAGCGCGAGCGCCGCCTGCACCGACTGGAGGTAGAGCCGGGCGGACCTGCGAGCGCGCCCCGAGCCGACCCGCGGCGCGCCGTGAAGGAGTACAGCCGGCCGGCGGCA